GCTGCGGCAGGGAGGGGCCTGCCCTGCTCCCCGCAGGGGGCATCTGCCCCGCCCGGAGGCCGCCCCCTGGCCCACCGTGCCCCCCCAACGAGAGCGGCCTGCCCTTTCCCTTTCAGGCTGATGGCCAAGGCCGTGGCCGTGCTGCTGCCCATCCTGGGGACCTCTTGGGTCTTCGGCGTGCTGGCCGTCAACAGGCAGGCGGTGATCTTCCAATACGTGTTTGCCCTGCTCAACTCCCTGCAGGTAGGAGCTCCAGGGCGCCCTCAGGTGGGCGTTGGCCGCCAGCCTCCCGAGTGGGCATGGGAGGGGCAGGTCGCCCCGGAGCGGGAGGGACTGGAGAGACTCCCTCTGTTCCCTGCACACCCCTGTGAGCCCATAGCCTGGGGGCACCGAGGCACGAGGCGTCGATGGGGCACCCCAGGGTCCCTGAGCAAACAAGGCCTGCAGGGTCGCGGCCCCGTCCACGTGGCCAGTACCTGTGGGACGACATCAAGGCCTAAGGGGGGGACGGTCAGCACGTGGGGGCTTCTGAAAGCAAGGGAGGCCTGGAGAGGTGAGGTTGGGGTACCTCGAGTGTGAGTTCTCCTCTGTCCCTGGCATGGAGGGGCAGGGAAGGGTCACCAGCCTGGAAAGCAGAGACTTCGAGGGCCCAGAGTCTGGACCCCAGACCCTGAAGCCCCAGAGGACACGTAGACGGACCCGCCCCAGCCTCAGCCCCGCCCTGCGTGCGGTGTTCATGACTGCGGACTGTCCCGCAGTGGCCTGTCGGGCTCCAGCCGTCACACGGAGTTTCCCTCGGTTGCTCGTCGTGACACGTGACAGGCGGTCCCAGCACGTCCTGGGATTCCTCCGTCGTCCCGTGCCCAGCGTCCTCCCCACAATCGGGACCAGTGACAGGACGCGCTTTGTGGGGCTGCTGCTGGCGAAGTGACCCGAGTCACGTGACGTGCTTGCATGAACCCTGGCGGCAGCGTCTAGGCATTAGGGGACACCTCCTTCTTGTGCCTGCTCCGGTTACCGTCACCCTCGGTCCGCAGAGGGGATGCTGCGGCTCAGCTTAGCTGACAGCCCGACGCCCTCCCCTTTCCCTGTCCCCTGCGTGTTGCTGCTTTCCCAGGTTAAGCCTGTGAGGGGACCCCCCTGTCCCCCCGACCCCGTCTGTGAGTCTTTGCCCGAGCAGCAGCACGGCCACCTCCGGCCCTGGGTGTAGCGGCTGCCTGCCTCTCGGTCAGATTACAGACGACAGGCGGTGTCCAGGACGACGCTCCACCCCCTCGGGCCGCGCAGGGTCACAGCTCCCTCCCGGGCTCCCCGGGACACGCAGGGTCACAGCTCCCTCCCGGGCTCCCCGGGAGTGCGCTGTGCGTGCGTGGGAGTGGGAGGCGTTTGTGCCAGGACGCGAGGGCCCTGACCTGCCGCCCCCCTTCCTTCCCAGGGCTTCTTCATCTTCCTCTTTCACTGTCTCCTGAATTCAGAGGTACGTCTCCTCCGCTCCGACACCCCGAAGCGGGGTTTTCGTTTCTGAAAAGGCACAGAGCTTGGGGACAGTGCTGCCCCGTCGGGCTGGCGTCTGGGAAAGTGATCTCGAATAAGCCTCGGTGACAGCGACAAGTCGTGCACAGCGGGGCGGCTTTCCATCAGCCCCTGTGCCTGGTCCCGTTGCCGAGCCACGTCCGAGCCGCCGCCCTCGCTGCCCATGTCCTGCAGCCTCTGCCGGCCGCGCAGAGGGCGGGGAGACGAGACTCGGGCCCTCGCTGGTGTCCGGCACGGCAGGGGGCGTGGGACCCGGATGTGCTCCCCAG